CTGGTGGTGAATTTACATGTGCATCAGGCCTTTGATACATAAGGCAAAGCCCAGATTGGGCTGGTGCTTTTTGCCCCCACTAAGTTTTGACTTAGTGCATATGTGACACTGAAATGATGGAATAAATCTATTCTTTAGACCTCAGCTGTGAGCTGTGGCCATCTTGGTTAACCTGCATCTATCAATTCCCACAAATGGTTCCCTGGTCTGCAATGCTTCTGGCTTGATCTGGGTCTGGCAGATCATCTTTAAGTGGAATGAAAGGCTGGTTCTCAAAGACCCACCTTACAGAGAGGACCTCTTCTCTCTGGATTTCACGCTGCTCTAAGCATTGTTTTTCTGGTCTTATTAGTGATGAAGGCAAAGCCATTTCTAGCCTGCTACATGTCTGAAATCGTGTTCCATGTTTCAGATTCACCAGATAAAATATTAGAAAATGTTTCCCTAAGTTTTTTCTTAACCGTGTGTGTAAACGTTTATATGAACCTCTTAGTTCACATGGATTGCTTTGGGTACAGATCTGTGGAGACGGTGGTCTTTGTTGGAGAGCTGGACTCAGAATTTACTGACATTTCCATTGAAGCTTTCACATTAGCGGTGGAAAACTTTCCTGTGCTTCCATATTCATGGTATCTGGAGCAAATACTTGCAGAGGTAGATTTTCTATCCTGTTTTTTCCTTGGTGTAAAAATTTCCTGTAGTCTGCTGAAGTTGTAGCAGTAGATGAACTATCTGTTGAAGGCAATATAATTACCTGGTATGTATTTTCCATCTTTAAGGAACAAAAGTGTTGAGGGTTTTTGTGCTTTTGGTTTGTTTTTTTCTTTTTCTCTTCTCTCTCTCTTTTTTTTTTTTTAAGTATAGTAACATAGGAAACAATTTTTCTATTCTTCACAAAAGCTAGTTCTGCAAGCATCCAAGCAATAGGATTATAATAAGATCTGGAAAGACATAATCCATCAACTATTGCTCAGAATGCATAAAGCCAATCTTTTGAGCTAAGAGCTGTGCTATTTGCACCATAGAATATATGTGAAAAGAACTGTGGAATTCATGCAAAATGATTATTGAACAGTCTTGGAATTTTTGCTGCAACAAATGCAGACTTTGCATTATAAGCATAACGTAAATTTTAGCTGTAGCCTATGCTCATTTTCATTTCTTCTGAAAGGGATATTTTCTATGCTTCTGAGAATCTGTGGTGACAAATTATACGTACATATTCAAGACAAGCAAGGAGGAGACTATTCAGCAGAGGAGGACAGGAATACAGAAGTTTTTAGTTTTAATTGTGTTTGTCATATACTGTAAGTACTTTTGAGCCATCTAATGTACTTCATATTATGTTATGTGCACTTAATTCCTAAAGTCCATATATTCCCACCACTTTCATGGGTTACATTTTATATAATAATTATTCAAAATAGAAATTCAGACTGCATGACAGACCAGTTTAACTTCTAGTTTGCATAAGGAAAGATCCCTCATTAAAAACACAGACCTTTACTTCTTTTGCAGATGATGTGATCTCTCTGTCAGAGTGAACAGCCCTTTCCTGAGCTGCCTTTTCAATTTGCTGTTTTAAAATCTCTGTTACAGTCTTTGGGAGCTCTTCATTCTGAGCTGAATTGATTGCTGCAATGGGAAGAAGAACAAAATAATTGTTTTTCCTCCAACCTGCATTTTATGAAATGAACTTTATCCATGAATTATAGAACATTATTATCTTAGAAAAGTTGTGCTTAGCCTTGTAGAAGTCTAGAGAGTCACTTGATCAGGAACAGAAATCCATAGAAAAACCAAAAAAATAATTGTTGATGCACGTGATATAACCTGTTTTGCCATACCTGAGTCATGTGGCAGGGCTAAAGATTGACTGGGATCTGTGGGAGAATATAACACATGAATTCTAGTACAAGGACTAAACTGCAGCAGCAGCAGTGTTTTAATACTGTGGACATATTCTGCAGGGTTATTCAGTTCAGGTACGACTCAACCTTTCTCATCCACAGCTGTGTACATACACAGACTAGTGTTTGCCTATGTTTTCAGTTCCTTCAAGCAACTGAGAGCATATTTAAAACCACGTCCTTATGCAAAAGTAATCTCTTCATACTGAATTTTAAACTCACTTAAGTCCTGTTGAAGTCAAGGAATGTGCTTTGCTGAGAATTCGGAGCAATGTGTGTTTTCATGTTTGTATGCTAAGAACGGTACATTTGTGTGAGTAAAGACAATTGCCATTGCTCATTTGTGAGCCTTTATTCTCTTGTAACTTCTTACCTCTGTCATGCTCAGTGGATGTAGAAGCCATTTTTATTTCATGAGTAACTTGCTCACGATGAGAAACCTGCACATAAAACCTTCAGTTTAATACAGGATTTATTGCAATACATAAGAATTTTCCATACTTCTAAAACCATATCTAAAATGTTACATCAATGAAAAATATGAATGTAAACCTAATAATTATCATGTTAAAACAATAACAAATTAGGAACACTTAATAAAACACCTTTAAAAATTATTGTACACTGCCTAATGATAGAAGCTGTCAGCAGATCATCCAGATCTTGCTGTACCAAGTGGTAAAGGAGGAAGGAGCAAAACAGATATAATTGTCCAATGAGATTATTATTAATTAATATAGTTACCTCTTGTGTTTGAGAGGCTTCTGTTTGACTTTCTTTGGAGGTCATTTCATTGCACTCAGCTTCCCTGGTGCTTCTTGATACTGTGTGGTGCCTGCTACTTGATTTTTCCTCAAGACAAACAAAAATAATTGCACATTAACAGCTAACAGGTTGGTTTTTTTGGTTTTTTTTTGATATATGAAGGGCTGTCACAAATTCTAATGTAAGTAGTGTAACTAGAATAGTCATTTTACAGCAGAGTACCATTGTTATTATCTTTGATATTTGTTGCCATAAACATTGGGGCAGGCTTTTTTTATAACACAGAAGATGTCAAGTCATTTTTGTTACTGCAGCCAGACATTGGCCAGCAGATATGGCAAGCTGCATGAATACGGTGTATAATTGGACTGGAAGGGGACAAAGGTGGCTACAAAGACTGGTTCTGGCTTTATGTGCTGTGCTATCAACTTGTTGCCTGTCAGCAGCATGAGGCTAATGCAACTTTGCAAAAGGAAGTATAGTAATACAACTATATAAGGCGTGATGACTTCCTGCATATGCTTTATACAGCTCTTCCAATGCAAAAATCACGCTGAATTGCAATTATGAAAAATATGACCATAGGCTAATGAAAAGATCCTATAAAATACATGTTTACACTGTATCTATAAGCCTGATAACTGCAGTGTAATAATCAGAGCATATTGTTGGGAGTTTAAAGCACTGTCCAAGATGTCTGTGCAAACTGATTTCTGAGGTTATCTGTGTTTATTTTGGCTTCAGATTCTGGCAGTGATTTGTTTCCTTACTTGAAGCCTGACATAGAACCTGTGCTACATCACACTACTTGTGTCCGTGGGGTACTTTGAGGTTTAGTGATTAGAAGAACTAAATCTGAAAGATTGATATTATTAAAGCAGCAGTCTTGTACTTCCTCTCTCATGCACACAGAGTCATCTAACAAATAATTTCACTCATGTCAAATTATATTTTCTTCTTCCTTTGTGAGAAGGAAGCTTTCCTATGAGTTTCTACTGATAATAAGCTTTCAAATGAAAGGAGCTTCTGGTCCCTCCAGCAAGAGCTTCCCAAGTGTTCAGTGTAACTTGAGTGGAAGCACGACTGTGTTGCTGAGATTGCTGCTATGTATCTAGTGCAACAGAGAGCTGTAAGCTTCCTGAATCTCAAATTCCTGGTGCCTCCTTGAAATCCAGCTAATTTGGGGGCAAGAAATTAGCTCTCTCTGTCAGTCATCCCATGAAAAAGCATATATTTAAAGGATTTATTATACCTTCAAACTAAAGAATGCTTACACTGGTTGCACTCCTTTAATATTTCTGCTGAATTAATGTAGGGGGGCATCTACTGCCTGGCCTGTAATTTCTGCCATACAGGAGGCAGCAAGGGCTTTTAGATTCTATGGCAGAGGAACAACGTGCATCCCTTCATGAACTTTAGGAATACTTTTCCACTTCTGTGCTTAAAAATCCTCTATTTTAGCTATAATATGAATTAAAATCATACGAACAAAAGGCAGAATTAATTTTCTTATTACTGGCCCAGTAAATGACTTAGTGCATTACCAGTATCAAAATCAATCCTATCTGAAGTGTCACAGTGAGTTGAGGCTGGAGGAGAGCATGGTTACACTTGCAGGTTCTGTATGCATAACAGTTCTGAGGGAGCTGCACAACATATGAGGAGACACAGAGCTAACCCCATAACAAGTTGAAAAGAGGCAGTTGAAAGAAAATGAAGTGCAAATTTTCCCATCTATTCTCTCTTTAATGACTGCGTAGGTGTATGTATAATATGCCTTTTCATTTTATATGGATATGCTTTTTAATATATTTATGCATATATATGCTTTTTTCATTTAAGATATGCATTTCTGTTCTTATGTGCATGTTTTAGATATGTAAGTCAAGCTCTCATTACTGGAAAACTCATTCATGAGACACGAAATATGTTCAGAATAGTCATTATGTGTCCTTTGAATGGTGTGGGGTATTAAAAAGAAATATAATTAGGCTTAATGTAGTCAGGAAGCAAATCTAATCTGAATGTCACTACTGCTTTATTGCTGTAACGTTGGTACTGCTTATGAAATAGTTGCCATATTGCAAAAGATTATAATTGTTTAATGTGATAGCTGTGGCTCTCTGAAATGCAGCCTAAACATTGTGAGCCAGATTTTGACAATATAATTACATAGCCTTGCTCTGGGCATGCAGGGGGGAAGAGGGACATGGAGGATCTCATATTTTGTGTGTCAGTAAAGATGGCTAATTGAAATTCCAGTAACAGAGTGTTAAATGCTGCTTGTTTATTATTCCAAACAAATGGAGAGCTTGAAGACCTGTGGTTTCATCCCTCCTCTGTAGTTGCCAGCTGTTGGATATAGGATTACTGTAGGTAGGATTAATTTAGTCTACCCCATCACGTTTATGGCATGTTTTGTAGATCCCATAGATTTTGGAGTATATTCTATAGAATTATTTGATGGTCAATTACTTCTTGTTCATTCTATGACCTATCATGAATAAGCTTCAGAAAACACTGTCAGCTGGATGATTGTTGGAATGCTGCTAGCTCATGAACTGTTTCTTATGGTAATTTTATTTTTATTTCTATTTCAGACTTCCATCATCCTCCAGTCTCTCATGTTTGTTTCACATCACCCTTTATGTGGGCTGCTGGCCTTCCCGTGCATATCTGTGTGGTACTTAGTACAGAGGACTATAGTGTCCTTTGTGCCTCTGGGTAATAAGTCATTCTGACCTAAAACAATATGAGAACAAATCTGTGTAAGTTTTGTTAGAGGAGTGGGTTTTTTTATGTAGGCTTTCACATTCTGTTACTCAAACGAACTGTAATTGCTACACGCGTTTTACATGTTAGTGGCCCATACATCAATTTTAGTGCCTCTGTGCTGCAATAATTTAATGGAATTCTGATTATGAAATGTGCCAAGATTTGAATTTTCAATAACTTCTCTGTGTAATTTAGACCAAGGTTTGCTTTTTTTGTGTTGGTACTTATACAGTTTCCTTCTGTTCTGATAACAGACAAAACATACTTTCCCTTTCAAAAATAAAATTGCTTTTCAGATCAGAATATGTATGCTATATGTATATGTACATAAAACGTGTACAGTTCTAAATATATATGTATGTATGTATTGTTCAAGGGGATCAAAAGTTCATCCAAGCACAAGAAAGCCTTTTTTTTACTAGCTCACAGTTGAAGCATACTGTGTTTAGTTGAACTGTACATTATGGTCATCTTATAATCTATCTGGGAAGTTGGCTAATGAATATTGTTTATGTATTGGCAGATTTAGAACTTTCTGTTCTTAATGAAGAGTATGTACAAACTTGCAGGCAGCAATGGAAGTAAACATATTGCTTTTTTACCTATTTATGTTCTTAGCACAGTATCATCTGCGCATCAGTACTGTGAGAGTCCTGTAGAAATTTCTTATCAAAGTTTCACTTATCCTCACTTCATCCCTATGATTTGTCAGCCTTGCTTAGTTGTATGTGTATACTTAGGGTGTCCTGGGCACTATATGAAAGATTTTCCTAAAAATGTAACATTTTCACCATTCAATAGCATTGTCCCATTATTCAGTCTTATCCTCTGCAGTTGTTAGAAAATTGGCAATTGCAACACTAGCCATCTTAGAAAATTTGTCTGGAGTGACCCTCAATGAAGGAGGGGGAGCCCTACCTGTGTCATTCCTGGCTGAGCAAATATCAGATGCTTTAGGTGTATTTCACTCCTCTTTGCTATGTAGGAGGTTCAGCTCACTTGCCAGAAATGGCTTGTTTTTGACAGTGTGAGACTACCTGAGCAGACACCTAGCTGAGCTGGGATAGCAAAGCACACCAGGCTGACATCTGCACAACTAGAACACCAAAGGTTATGGCCTCTTCTCAGCTTGGTGGCTGATGGCAAAAGGTGCTCACGATGTCAGTGGTCAAATTAAAGACCAGATATCTAATCAAACTCTGGTTGAATTTGTGAGCACATGACAAGTCTGTGATCAGGTTTCATTGCTGCTCAGCATTCTGGACAAGAGTTTAGTGGATTCTACTGGTAATATGGCACCTATCACAAGTAGCCAATCTCCCTTATACTATGAGTGATGGCTGCTGCCTGAGAAAAACAGAAAGATAAATAATTATCATTTCCGTATTTGATGGCAATATTTTGAATTAAAAGCCATGAACTCCTTGTGCAATGATTGAATATGTAGTAAAATGTTCAGCTACTTAGATCACTGTTTAAAAAAAGTGAATAGCTTTCTTATTTTAGCTTGGATTAATATTTTGAATTTATCCAGATCTGGAGATCTGTCCTCAAACTACATGTTTTCTCTGTTTTGCCCCAGGATGGATTCAGTGACCTTGAATAATCTTTTGACTACCTAAGTATATAATCCCATTTTCCATGTAAGTGCAGTTATGTTAGATAGAAATGGGATTTTATGGTCTTGCAGTAAGTTATTTAACCTGAATTTAAAGTTGGTTCCATATAGTCTGAGTAACTTTATTTTCTGTGAACGTGGCTGTTTCTGCTGATGATTTGAGAGAGCCTCCTCAACAAGCCACAGAGGACAAATACATGGGTAAGTATGCTTTGAGGTCACATCTTTGTTGAAGAAATGCAACCATCATAGTGGATTTGTGGAGAGCTAGATATCCAGGGAAAATGCATCTGCACATCACAGAAATGAAATGATTGGGTTCTGAATCAGAGAAAAGTCACATAATTTCTGTACATGGTTCTGCATTTCTCATCCAGAAAACTGACAGCTATGTTGGGCCACATCATCAGAAAAGTATGTGCATAACATTTCCCATCACCATGGATTATGCACCAATATGATTATGTCCCACTATGGGATTTTTCTGCTTAGTTGAAATACATTAATACCTCTACAGCAACCTGTGTCTTCTCCCCTATAAACTGGAGTTTTGTTTGTTGTCTGTGCAAGTTGCTGATGTAGGTATTAATGTATAAGAAATGAGACGTGACTGGTAGATATGATGATACTTAAGATTAAAATGAACCTGTGGCAGAATGTTGGGTGAACAATATTTCTTTAAAATCTTTCCAAGAAGTGCAGGATGGTAGAGAAATTTATTGTGCCATTACTGTTTTTTAGAGTGCACAGGACAGATTGTGCAATGTGTTTTATTGTAGGAAATTTCACACAGTCCAAAGTCATTATCTCTTACAACAATTTTTCATGGTATATGCTAACGAAGTAATAAAATGTAAAGGCCTTTTATTTAAAATAATAGTTAGCTGCTGCTTTGTTCTACTGTTATGCAGTATTCTGTGCAATTTTTGATCTCTTTAGGGGAGTTTATTAGATTTAATTCAATGGAAGCAGGAAACTCCTTTTGAAAGAGAATTACTTAACATCACATCAAGTGCAATAAATGCAAAATATCATCATGATACTTGATAATGTATAAATTACAGTCTTACAGACAGCTCAGTATAAAATATTGCTATGGTAGTAACTGCTTCACTCAATCTGTGTCAGTTGAGTCTAGTCTATATTGAGTGTTCATCTGCATAAAAAATATATGATTACTGTGGTACATCTCAAAGATAAAACTCTGAGTATGAGCGTTAGGAAAATGTTGTCTCAGTGATAATGAAGACTCTTCACTAAAGCAAGCAGTCATATTTTTCCTCCAGTTATAAAGCAGAGCATACCTAATTTGTTATTATTAAAATGCTATTTTTACCTGTACAGATCTATGCTGCTGTTGGTACTGAGCAAAGGTCTTCTGTGGAGAGATCCTCTGCACTTTCTCGAATTGTTTCCGCACGGCTTCCACTACTGTACCAGGCACGGTACAGAACTTGGTTTTCTGTGAACCCTAGAGTGATAAAATATGTCCAATTGCAATTGTTTTCCCTTTGCACTAAGAACATATTTCTATGAGTTGTTTTTTTTTAAAAAAATAGTTAACAACAGTATACTATAATGCTTATAAATTTCAAAAGAAAAATTTGGAAACTCTTGGTTATGTCTGTAGCCTCTTACAGGCAACTTCCACCAACGTAATCTGTAAACCCTACTTCTTTAATATTGCACATGAGCTAACATTAGCATTCAAAATAGACACAGTAATGAGATAATTATTTTTCAGGTGTTATTGTGAAGATACAAAACATATATGTACTGTTAACATTAACTATTGAATCTCATTGGCCCATTTTAGAACTTGTCAACCAAAAATTAGGACCTGCAAATTATGAAGTTCTTATGAAGTCTGAATTTTGCAATCTACAACCTAGTTAACAGTAATATGCTCCTATGTGAAACAGCTCCTGCTGATGTAGCTGCATATTTATCTCTCCCTAAAGTAGTGTCTGAGGACTCAGTGGTCTCCTCTGTAGTTTTAGGGATCAGCCACGTGTTTTCGTCTATGTAATACTCTCTCTTTGCAGGAATGACTCAGACAATCATAAATACTGGGTTTGGCAAGTTCATAGACCACTGCACAGGAGCCATACATTATGTTTTAGACAAATTGAAGGTATGCTTGGCCTGAATCTTGAGCACCAAAAGAAGTAAAATCCATCTACTCGACTGGCAGTAGCAATCACTTTTAAGAACAGTCCTTCTGCTGTTCCCTCTTCTACTTGTCTCTTCTGAGTTCTGTGGCATTTAGAGCTGCCACCTGGTCTTCTCTGTATGTTTTCAATAGGTATTGCTGAAAAACTTGCAGAGAGCTTCAAGCAGGCCTTTGTGAGATGATCTGTCTTCACCAATAACAGCACTGAAGATCATAAGACTGTCCTTACCCTCAGGCTTCCTGTTCTAGTTCTGTCCCTTATGTGTTACCTCAGATGGTACTAGACGAAGCTTTTAGCATGTGAACTTTATTTTCTACAGAAAATAAACCACCCAAAAATTAGGAATAGCCTTGTAATGAAGGCTACTAAGTAAAATTAGGTTTAGTGCTTACACCTGATGAGGAAGTAAGCAGATCATCAAAAAAACCAGACTTTTTTTTCCCCGGTGATGACGGTGGCAAGATTGTATGTGTACATGGATGTGTGAATGTGAAAAGTAATTATTTTAGTGAACAAACACTTCAGGCACACTTTACCAGCCATTTGGAGATATTTAGAGGGGGTAAATGCAGTTATGAGTCCTTTAGGACTTGTATAAATTCCCTTTAATGGAACCAGATATTAAGTTCTTTTTTTAGGCAACCATCCATTTCAGCAAGAAATTGGGAGGAGTTCCTGAGTGAAAATGAAGTAGTTCCTATGTGCTCAACACAGTTAGATTGGATCAGGCTTCATGCAGTTCTTTTCTTTGTGAGAGAGTACGAACTTAAGCAGTTTTTCCAATTACAGGACTAGAGAACTGGGACCTTCTCAGCCAGGTGAACTGCAGGAATCTGCAACCAGACAGTTGGGAAATAAGGAAATCAGCAGGCAGGAGTTTGGTGGTCGGAAAACACCTGGACTCTGGTGTCTGTTTTCACTGTGTGGTTTCTGGGCCATCCAGGCCCCCAGTTCCTTCAGGTGATGCAGACCACTTTTCCGAAGACCAAAGTGCGGGTAAGACTGAGGATCCTTCTACAGCTCTACTGGCATATGGACAAAGATGCTGGCTGGTGAAGCTGAATTGTAGTTCTTCTTTTGCTGGATGTGGTCTCTGATTTACAGAAATTACTCTTGCCTAGTTTACAGTGAAAAAAAGATGTTCTACCCATGTGCCAAAAGTTTAGTGTAAACAAAGACCATTGTCATTCTCACATTATAGCAAGCCATCATAATGCCTTCCATTTTCTTATTCAGGGAGTCTGAGCTACTACTTCTAGGTAGGATTTTAAGATATGGTAAAAATACACTTTTTTATCCTTAGTATTTCTGCAGAACTGAAGCAGATTTTCCTGGCTGAGATGTGAAGATCCAGTTCTCAGATACTCCTGACTGATAATTAAACATGTGGTGAAGTGGTCTATTTTAATAGATTATAAATTCTCTCATATGTTATGTGATACTTGGTATCAATATTTTACATTTTGGGGTAAAATACCTAAGCTGTATTGAAAGACATATAGAGAGATGAGTAAAACAAAATTAAGAAATTTTTTCCTATATGTTCTTTATATATAATGCCCCTTTTTAGTAACTTTATTACAAAACAATACTTTTTCATACACCTTGTCTCATAGAGCTGCTATTTTAAAATGCAGCAATTTCAAATTCTTTAGTTTGAACAGTGAGAGATCTAAACTTTATGTGGTTTTGAATATGATTTTATTTTTTACTAATATTTTTAGTAATGCAGAAACTGCTGGGTTTTGCCATTGTAAGCTGAAATAATAACTGTGTTGTTAATCTGCCACAAGCCTAAGGCCCTAACTGCAGTTCATGCAACAGTGGAAAAAAAAAGAACAGTCCTTCCAATGAGTAAAGGGAATTGTCCAGGTGACCAAAGGCTTATAGCATGAAAAATCTCATTCAGCAGAGACAAAGACTGATGCATCCATATGTTTGCTAAGTAGATTTAGTAATTTGGGTTTCAAATTTTGATCCCCATAATGGTCCATGAGTCAGGTTGTTTACATAAAGAATGCAGGATATGTCACAATGCAAAGCAAACAGAGTTAAGAAGGTAAGAAACTATTGATATCTTACATGAGCAAAAGACACAGCAGCCTTGTACATAGCCATTCTTTCTTTAAAGGAGACATTCTCCTGGAAATCCAGCAGTGTGTTATCAGCCCTGGGAGTGCTCTCTTTAGGTCCTCTTACAGGTTTGCGAGACCCCACTGCAGGTGCAAACAGACATCTTATTTTCTAACAAGGAAATGGGTACCTTTTTTTCAAATCTTGATAGAAAAGCAGTAGTAGAAAGAAGCAGTATTACCAACTTTTTAGGAACTATCTTATTTTCAATTTAGAACTTAACAGAGTACAGAAAAATTTAATTCGATGAAAGTTTTGAAACTGGGGGAAATTCCTTGGGGAAAAACCAAGAAGCGTTTTAATAAAAAGTATATAATTATAACAGCAAGTATGGTAAAATTTTCTTGATATTGTTATTTTTGCATTATTTTATACAGTTAAGTAATTGTAAGTACTACAAATAACCTATTATAATTAGATATATTATGTTCTAATTAGCTTTATGCATGATAGTATTAATTTGCTTAGCAGTCTGTTCCAAGTCTATTGTAGATTTCAGTTGTTTACTGATACTTCATTAGGGTATGTTTTAGTTGGTTTCGTACTACCAAAACCTTATTGAAAATTGTCTCGATTGCCAACTACATTTTAACTGTGTTTCAAGGTGTGAAGAGGTTATAGACTTATCTAGAAGCATCTACAATTCAGCTACAGTGAATCTACAACAGCTCAGAGTAGTCCAGAAAAAGCAGCACCGAGTTACTAGCACTAGAGGGTTCTTGTTGCTGCTTTCTACATACATTTGACTGTGTTAGAAGAATTCAATATACCAAGAAAAGTGCCTTAAATTTAGTGTAAAGGTATTTTTCCTTCTTCTTTCAGACAAAGGGAAAAAAGTATGTTATGAACATCTCTCTTGTCTGTGATAAGAGGCAGAAAAGATTTCATATAATCCTATAGGCTGGAAGTTCCTCTTGCCCTCCCAGGGTTTTTCTGAAGTACAGGCAAAATTGGATTGAATGACACTGGGTTTCTGTAACCAGGAGGCTCCCTTACCTTTTGGAAGAGGTGAGAATTGTAAGACTTCAACAAGATACATTTTCAGTAAAGCCACCAGAATCTAATTTTTTAATCCTTGTGCTGCCAATATCAGACCACTCTGATCTTCCTTAAATTCATCTATGTTTCTCCTTGTCCTTACATAATAGGACAGAATAAATTTGTTGCAATCTGCATTGCTTTTTTTTTAAACAGTTGTATTTTCAGAAATTTCAGAAACAGACGGTAGCTGAATGGAATTATTTCAAAAAACTCTACCAAAACCCACTCTATGTCCCATCCCAACCTCCATCTCCCTGGCCCAGTGTTGTATATCTTGGAGCTTCTCAAAGTTGAGGAAATTACTGACTTAACAAAGGAGAGAAAGAGGCAGGAAGAAACAGTGTGGGTATGTTCTCCTGTTCTGTTTATTCAATTCAAGCCAGTAGATAACTAAATTAAAACCTTAAAATCCTTTCCAAAAAGGAAAGTCAAAGAGGAAGCTTCAGATGTGTGCTTTCTGCTAGCCATTGGCAGTTTACTTGAATTCTTAAATATTTTGGCACCCTGTCATCATCTTGATGATGATTTGCAGACATTAAATTCAATAAATCAACTTGCTTGACATAATTTTCTAAGAAATTAGTAACTTTTCTTTGAACAGTGTTGGCTATCCATGATGTCCATTTTTAGGCCTGACTGTAGCATTTGCCAAAGTCAACTCCTTGTCGTAGAAGCCTAACTGTATTACATTTTGTTATACATACATGCATTACAAAATCATATTGTTATACATATATGCATTACAAAACTATGTGCCTCGTCAACTGAATTTCTGCTTACCTAAGCTGCTTCAGTATTGATTATTGTATTGCCTTAATGAGGCAGTGGCTGTGAAAACAAAAGATACAGATAAAAAAAATCCTCATTTTCTTTTAAAGTATTCACTCTTTAACATTATGAAATGCAGCAACAAAACAGACTTTTCAAAAAGTTGTCTGTTCATCTGGCACAGAACAGAGTGCCAGAGAAGGGATATCCTACCAAACAGGGAAGATTTCCAAGGCACGTCTGGCCTTTCTGCCTATTCCCTATAAAACTGTTAAGCTGGCATAGAAGTTCAGTTCAGATATAGCAAGCAAATATAACAAACAGTTCTAATCTTCGGTAAAAATCAGATGCAGACATGCATGGAAGAGTGATCTCAATGTAAACATACACATAGTATTTTTACCTGACCCTGCTCATAAGATACATAAGGATAATTTTCTTTTTTATTTTGCTTATCCTATGCATTTGCCTAATGAATGTAATTATGATAGAGAAAAGAATTGTACAGTTAAAGAAATAATAATAGCAGCAGTGAAAGAGTCAGTAAAAGACAGCTGGAAGGAAAAGATTTTCAGAAAAAGTAGAAACCAGAAGAGGGAAAAAATTGCTGTTCTTCAAGTAAGAAGTCTGTATACTAAACCAAATCTAATCAAAAGAATATAAAGATTGGAAGGACCTTTTGGCAACACAGGATAGTCCACCATAGCCAAACAGTGTCAATTCATTTTTAAAGGCAGATTGAATTATGTGACAGACTAGTACCAGAATGAAATTTCTAAGCCATTGCTTTAGTTCTCAAGAGTGTTAGGAGTTTTAAAACTTTCTTGGTATTGCTCTGATTCAACAAGGGATTCTTGGATTCTACCTAGCCATAACCATGTGAATGGTTTCATTAAGTGCAATGGGAATACTCGTGTGCTTAAAGTTAGACATTTGATTTAATTCCTTGCTGATATGGGGCCAATGAATTTAATGGACTGTTTTAAAAAACATTTTAATAGAGACGTATTATTAACCACCTGGGGAGTGAAGGTAATAGAAACTATTCTCTTGTTAGCTTTAAAAGCTTTAAACAGGAAGTGCCCTGTCTCTAGAAGCTAGTTGGTTTATTATACAATGTGAAACTCTTTTTGGTGGTACAAGAGATTATATGATCTAAACTTTTGCTCATTCATTTTGCTCTAAGGTTTGCTCATTCAAGGGAATTTAAAGGTGTAATATCTTTGATTCTTTCAGAAATAAATGTGTGTTTTGAAATGAAAGAGTTGGTCATGAGAGCCTTAGCCTTATGTTTATCAAGGTAAGGTATGCCAACAAAATCTGTTTGCCTTTGTCATATGGGACTTGTACAATAACACCTATTTCAGAGAATCTAATTCTTCTATTAACAATTAGTTAAACTAATTCTATAAAGTAAACAGAGCTTGACAAATCTTCATGCATGATAGGACTTGAGAATTCTGGCTTTCTGCCATTTTTGTCCAACCATATGACTACATTAACTATCCCTTATAGACTTCTCCAGGTTTTCATGGTAGGTTGAACAGCAGTATGAGCATTGCCTTTATTTTTTTTCAGTGAAGACAATAGAAGTTGTTGGTACTCAGTCATAGAGCTTGCTGTAAATGTTGCTCGATACCTCCTCTAGGAAAATAAGATTTTGGCATAACTGAAACATTTAGCAAAAAGTTCCATAGCACTTTAGTGGTTAGAGGTTATTGTTCTTGCTGAAAAATTGAAGCAAGCTGACATATATTGTTATTGGTTATAGAAAAGTCAATCTCATGGTGATGGGAGAAATAATCTATGAATCAGCATTATCTTACATTTTTCAGAACCTGAGTATGTATTCAAGTGCAGAGTTGCAGATTTCAGTGCCTACTTCACCTATTAGAAGTTTAAGAGTTTTCACCAAGGCTTTCAAACACTAAAATGAGTCTATAGGGAATTTACTTCTCATAAGACTGTCTGAATGCAAAATAGGATATTATGGCTCTCACAGAAATGTAGAAAAACATTATCCCCTATAGGTCTGTCACATTTTTAGAAAAAGCTTCAATTTTAGGAGGTATAAATTGTTGACTGTGCATTTTAACATAGCTCATATTCTTTGTTATTCCTGGTGGACCAAAAAATGCTTCTGAAACATGCTGTGCCAAATTTAGACTCAGAGGTAAAGTGGATGTGGAATGGAGGATTCTCTTCTCTCAGAGGGGAAAAAGAACAGCTTTGAACTAGAAGATTCTAAAAGGAGAAGGAAGAAACCCCCCACCAAAAGTAGTCCTTACAACCATGTAAATGAAAAGATGCCTTAAAAACTTGAGAAGATATAGAGAAGAGGCAAAAAAAAAATACTACCACACAGGGAACTGCAGCTGTATCTGGTTGATGGAATAGGTGGTTATGGAGTGTTATGGTCATAATGTATCACCATCCTTAATTAATTTGGTAGGCAAAAAATCTCATTAATTTTGTAGGGTTTCGTTAATTTGGTAGGGAAAAAAAAAAGAAAAAAGATAACCAATGGCTGAAAGTTAAACCTCATAAAAGATCAGATCCTTAGTTTGAACAATGACCGTAATAAACTTAGCAGCATTATCTGTAAAAGGTCATGT